TCATGGCGTTAATTGTTTTAAACACTTGGGCGATAATGAAACGACTTCATCTGCAATTAACGGAGATAAGATAGCAAGCAGATCACATTCGAAGTATAAAAATAAATAAATACAAATATTATATATCAATTATAAGTAATTATATATATATATATATAATATTATATAAATGTATATTATAACTATTTTTTGTTTGTATGCGCAAAAGCGTATGTTTGTGTGTGTGTGTGTGTGTGCGTGTGTGTGTGTTTGAGTATAACCAAGGCTACAAATATTGTGATCAAAAAGTACAATGGAAATGTAAAGGTTTATGATGAAAGTTTGTTTTAAATGAACAATAGAATGTTTAAGTAATTTTCAGAATGACAGAAGCGAGTGAAGTAACTTTACAAGCTGCGCGCGCTTCTGTAATAATAAGAACGAAGATAGTATGGCAGAAGAAGAAGCTGCTGTAAAATGTTTGAATAACAAATAGTTGTGGTTGTTGTTGAGCACCATATGTTGTTGTTTGATAAACAATATTTCATGTCTTCTAGTTGTTAATGTGTTTTTCGTTTCTTACAATTGCTTCTTTACATTCTGTTCTTTTTTTGTAAAGTTGTTGTTCTTCAAAATTAGTTTTATTCTTCTTATTCCTCATTTTCAATATTTTAAATATTTTTGTCACTTTATTCCAATTTACGTTAATGCTATATTTAGGTTAGATTTAGTAAGTTTTTTATTGCAGGATTATTAATCTTCATAGAGAATGTTTTGAATGTTGAACATCTGATCGTACACGGCAAACCTCGAACACAACATAAACATTTTTTTTATTTTATTACAAATTTGAAATAACATTGCAAGAATATTTGTGAACAGTGCTGAAACATGGTGGTGTGACTTTTTCCAACAAAATTATAAACTGCATAACGTTTTTTGTATTCAATTAAAACTGCATATTTTTAAATAACAATGTATTTTTTTTTTATTTTCCATAATACCACACTTTAAAAAACCAACTCAAGGTCTTAGGAACTTAGAAAAATCATCAGAAAATCTTTTAATGTCAAAACAAAACTCAGTGAGTGAAAATCAATCATCTAAGAGAATCAATAAGCCACTCAATCTTTCAATCTCTCAATTCATTCGGAAAAACATTTTTGTCATTTTCATCTCATCCTCTAACCTTCATTTTTGTTTTTCTACCGTGATAAAATGTAAGGAAATCTTCAAAAGCAAAGCGTCAGAGATAACAATCGACCACTTTGCTTGTTGTTACTCATATGATCATCCAAAATTTGAAATAATCATCATAGAATGAAACAGTTATCAAAATTATCATTTATGATTGGCGGCTAGTTTCTCAAATTTTAATGATTAATAAATAAAGGTATTTTCTTTAATTTTTGATAAAAATAAAATAATATTTACTGTATTTGTTTTTGAAAACTTTCATACAATTTTTTCCATCTTGTAATTTTATTTTTGCCTACTTTTTAGTACCTTCTAATTTTCGATTAAATTCAAAACGATTTTTGACTTTCGCGAATAATTTACATCATAAGCAAACTCGCGCCAATAAATCGTCTACCACATTGAACTATTATATTTGACACCATCCAAATCATCCAAATCAAAATTTAGAAAATGTGCATCAACACCTGCAATATTTATACCCTTGTTACCTGGCACCTCCTATTTATCTTATAAACAATTATTACATATTTTCATATAAAAGCAGCGTTTTGTATAACATTTTTAAAGTTATTTAATAAAGTGGTTTTATTTATTAAAATATTGATAATTTTTATCTATTCATTAATTTTATTTTTACGTATAAACTTACCAAATATGAACATGATAGTACGCCTTGTCCGTCTGTTAACATTTGTAACCTCTTATCGTTATAATTCTTCAGTCTGTGGATTTTATATTTTTAGCTTTTTCTTTTTTAAAATACGTAATTAACCCTTTTGATACCTAATTAATTATATGGTTGCCTTACTTAACAATTAGTTAAGTAGATGAAAGCCTGCTTCAACACTTTTAATTTAATTAGTTTTAAATCTGTATTAATATACAGCAGGGCACGTATATCTATTAGAAATATATATTGGCAAGTTCCACTGAAGTTACACCAGATAACATTACCATGTGCTGGCATAAATTAACGAAACGAAACTAAACGAAAATTTGTTTAGCAACGAAAATTTCATGGACAAAAAATGTTACAGGGTTGGCCAAAGTACAATTTTTAAAAATTTAACGAGCCTGTCCACCCGAACAAATCAGTATAGAGCACAAACACAAATTTTCAATGTTATTCTAGATAATTATAAAATTTGAATTTAAGTTCTGTTGGTAATTAAATTTTCTAAAAGCGATTTAAATATTATTTGTACATTTTAAGAGCGAGTACGCCATTGTCAACTAACTGCTATGTCGCCTCTACAACTCAAATTTGTTATTGAGACATTTTCAAGACAAGAATGTACTCATAGTTCCACTTTGAAATCATTTATTAAATTAATATTTTATTTGAAAAAAAAAAACTAAACCAACTGTAAAAAGTAGCTGAACGACTGTAGTTAAGCGACGTAAAATGAAAAAGACATGTGAGAGCAACAACGAACGTCAATATTTTTCTATTCTTTAAAATGTAGCTCCGTCAAACGTTGAGCCGCTTACACGTTGTTTCATACCTAGGCTTATAATTGAACTTTCTTGTTACAGACTGACTGAACGTGTAGGGCTGTTTCTATCCACACCAGACGACTCACACACTTATTTAGTAGGTATGCACGCGCAAGCACCTCATCATACGCATATGATGGTCTCTGAGTTTCGGACAGACAGTATTCGAACCATGCCATCGCGTAATAGCAGCTCAAGACACGGCTCTTTTACCGACTAAGCTAACTCGTTGACCAATCTGAAGTGAAGTAAAAGTGGTCGAAGAGACAAATAGTCTTCAAGAACTAACAAGCTGACCGCCATATATCTTTCATTTAGTTTTACGTACAAAAATATTTACATACGTTTCTAGGTATTTTGTGAGTTAGGAATTGAAGAATAATAAACAGAAACAATGACAAACAATCGAGGTGTTGAAAACAGAAATGAATCCCATAATAATACATGATACAAACACTTAATATGGAGTAATGTTCTCCGAGCAACTGTTATAGCATCTTAATGTTCTGGTACATTGGTGCAAATAATCAACTGAGTACATGCACTAGCAAATTTTCCATTATTTCGCACGCCAATCCATACCATCCTCAATTCACTTATCATAAAATAAATTTAAGTTCAGATCCATCAATAACACAACATATATTTTTAAAAACTGTTCAAATTGTTCATTGCTTTCTTAGCTTCATTATTTATTTTTGATTGGTGGTGATCGGGAATTTAAGTTTTTCTGAAGATGATGCTACATACGCCACGCTATATTTCTCATAAATTTACACACATCCACACATCATACACTCACACACACAACACATACACAAACACACACGAACATAAACACACACATTAAATCACATTATATTCACCTTTTATATTTTTTTACTATATATGTAAGTAACAGCAAAGAATTTCTGACGCAAGCACACCACACGTAATATATTTGATCTGATAATTTTACATTAAAAAGCAATTGCAAATAAAACATTCGCTTACATGATTCAATGCCATCTTGAGAACATCTGTGTTAGTAGACTTTCAAAACACTTGCTATTAAAATAAACTAAAAAAAATTATTCAAAAAAAAACTAACGACAGTGTATTATTAATTCAGAGCTGGCTAAGAAAAAAACTAAGTCTGGTTGGTGTAAACTCGGAGCTAAAACAAGATTTTGCATTGTTGTAAAAGATTGTGAAAAAAATATTTGAAGCCACTCACTCAAGCAGGATGTTTGTTTGTTGAGCATATCATATCATGTGTGAGGCTTTAAGTTTAATCAGAGTGTTCATCTGGACATCATGATATCTTTATCATGCGTTGGTGCGAACCTTTTCTTCCTTTTTATCGCTTTCCATTTTTGTTTTTCACTTCTCATTTTATTTTTTCTTTCTTTGCTTCCAACCAACAAACACTTAAAGGAAGACATGTACGTACATTCATCTGTATACATCGAATTTCAGCACTCTACAATTCTCATATGTCTTTTTGTTAATTTTCAACATCAATTCAAATAAATGTACAGAAGGAACGTCGCAATTGTGTGGTGTGTTATGCGCAACCGTTTTAGCGCTCAAAATCCTTTTGAAATTTTTCTTCAATGCTTTCTACCTCTCTCTCTCTCTCTCTCTCTCTCTCTCTCTCTCTCTCTCTCTCTCTCTCTCTCTCTTTCACACACACACTCACACACACTTTTTTCTTTCTCTCTCAATTTGAGTGTGCGTGTTTGTAAATTTGCAAGTACGTGAATTTTTTGGTCACATAAACAAATGTTCTTTTATTAATTTGTAAGCAAAGTAAATTGATAACAAGAGTCATATGCAATGAATAAAATATCGTGAAAAATTTTTAACGATGTGGATACAATTGCTTGCTGTAATGGAGAGCTAAATATGAAAAGATACGTCAGTCCTACCGCAACAATAAACCATGATATAAAAAGTCATTTGTTAAATAATGTTTCAAGTCATTCAAGAACATTGTGTAACTGGAATCATGATTAATGATTGACTTACGAATTCGCAATGTATGTATGTGTGTATGTATATATGTATGTTTGTATGTATGTATGTATGTATGTATGTATGTATGTATGTATGTATGTATGTATGTATGTATGTATGTATGTATGTATGTATGTATGTATGTATGTATGTATGTATGTATGTATGTATGTATGTATGTATGTATGTATGTATGTATGTATGTATGTATGTATGTATGTATGTATGTATGTATGTATGTTAAAACCAAAACATGATGAGTGACACTGAACCGTCAAACATCAAGTAACAAATGGATTAACACTTTGATTTGTCGTTAATTGCACATGTCGGCATTCAGTTGGATATTTTCAAGCACACAGACACGCAGGAACCGCTGCAACAAGCACGAAATTTGGTTAGTTGCGAAAAACAGTTCCCTGCTGTCGCCTGATTTGACGCTGATCATTTTACATATTGCCTTAAGAAATTTAAGGGTGTTGGTGTCCATCGGGCCGATAACCTCGATACATATTGGCAAGAATTCCATCGAGGGGAGGGCGTTCCCATATTTTTTTTTCATTTTCTCGTCCGCTGCCCTGGCCGCGGCCAAACCGCATTCTTTACTTGTCAGGTTTACGTATCATTCGGCGAGGGTGCCAGGGACTGTAACATCCCACGCCAAACATCTGCCGGCTCTCCAAGGTATTAGTGTGCATCCGTCCGGGCGCCTACCATCATGCGCAGAAATGCCGGATGGTTCCTTGAGAACCGGGATTGAAGCCTTGGAGAAGAGCCGACAAAAATGTATGTTTGTATGTATGTATGTATGTACGTATGTATGTATGTAAGTACGTATGTATGTATATATTATTATTATTATTACGAAAATTTATATACAGCGCTTTTTTATTGTTGAATCTCAAAAGCGCTACTAAATCATGTATGTATGTATGTATGTATGTATGTATGTATGTATGTATGTATGTATGTATGTATGTATGTATGTATGTATGTATATATGTATGTATGTATGTATGTATGTATGTATGTATGTATGTATGTATGTATGTATGTATGTATGTATGTATGTATGTATGTATGTATGCATGTATGTATGTATGTGTGTGTGTGTGTATGTGTGTGTGTATGTGTGTGTGTATGTGTATAAGTGTAAGTATATCTCGCATGGTTTGTTTATACAAAGTTTATAAATGTACGTAACTATTAGTGCACAATTCATACGCACATGCATTCCAAACGACCTCACATCAAAATGCTTTTCAATAAAAATATTATCTGAAACTGTTTGTTTAGTGTTATATTTCAGGAGAACATTTTTAGACAATTTTTTAAAATATAAAATATATATGTGATAAAAATGTTAAACTTGTAAAAGGATGACTTTTATCGCAAGAGGCATCTCGAAAGCACTAGCATTAAAGATTGCATGCATGCACAAGACCTGTGAAATAATCAGAATATATATCCGGATATAAATGTTCATTGAATTACATAAAATATTCATTAAAACTTAATTTTTTGTTAATGAATTATAAAGCAAAATATCATGAATGTATTTTATTCTACCAAAAATTTAGCATACATTAAATAAATGACTAATATAATTAATATGTTCTACCGACAAATGATAGTTGTTTGAATCAAGAATTAGTTAAAAGTAATCAAAAATTATAAGAAAAAATCGTTAAAAATTGTTTTACGTATAATTATTTGACATAAATATATACAAATATTTATTGATAGAAGTGTGGGTGAGTGTGCGTGTGTGTGTGTGTGTGTGTGTGTGTGTGTGTGTGTTTAGATGCATGTGTGTTTGTTTTCATGCAAACGGTTTTGAAGCTGAGCTTCTAACACAAGAAGCGTTTGCGGCTCTGTCGTTGTCACGGAGAACTGTTCTTTTACAAACATCTTGCCTCGTTTTATTACTGTTCATAAAAATTTGCAAAAAACAAAATAACTGAACACCATGCAACACTGGAAAACTATCTTTCTAACAATGAAGTACAAAACATTGCAGTGCAATATAACACGAGCTAACACAATGCCACTGAACCAGAAACTAACAAAGTATATAGTTGCATTGCACCCTACTGCTATTGCTAACCATTATTTTCAAGCGCCGTCCTGACTGTACATCTTTCGTTTTCATCATTTGCTCCTCTACTGCCATTTTGAAAGACATTCCACATAAATTCTTTATTTCTGATATTTTTGTTTTTATTTTCAATTCCGATTATTCTTTTTAGTCATGTTATGATAGATATAATTTATTTTTATTCTCAATCAAGTTTATTTGGAATTTTTTAAACACAGGAAATTGATTGACAAATATCTAAAATATCTAAAACCTCTAAAATATCATAAATTTATTTTATCTATGTATAAGGTGTTAATGATTTTACTTGTAATAGAAATGTTGTTAAAAATAACTTCCGTAAAATGATTAAACAACAAGATTTTGAAACAACGTTGCATGGTGGGCTGCTTATGTTAATTTTGCCTCATTTTATTACAAGAACATCTAATTGAAATCAACATTTAACAAAAATTTTACAAAAGGTAATGAAAGTAGTTATTAAAACCTGCTGATTCGAACCCACTCTTAAATAAAATGTACGCACGTGTAAGAGGCTCTTTGCGAAAATTTGAACTTAGGTGCCTCGATGGATTTCGAACTGCACCAACCAACTTTCTAATTAAATAATTATTTTGAGTAGAAGTCTCCCTCGAATGGGAGGGGGTCGTGTAATAGATAGTTTAGTGGATCTATATAGCTTATAAGCTTTTATGTTTAAATAAATCCTTGTTTTATAAAGAAAATTACCACTTTCGTTTACTTTTTCATAGATAAATCAATAGAACATTTTTAGAATAGAACTGTCGGTTTTACAAAAATGTCGCTCGTGTTGCATTTGTTGCTACCCTGATGATTCTGGTGTGTTACTCTGGTCCAGGATGCTTCAATTTTGTGGCTACGGTATGTCCGGACAACCGCATAGATTTCCATTATTTTAACTTTCCAAAGTTTTCGCATTAAAGGTTTTCAATTTTTCTAGTTAAATGAAAATAAAATATAGTTGAAATGAGCGATGTTTGTTTGTTATAGGAGTTGAAAAAAATAGTCTCATATGATATTTTCGAAGTTTCAGAATTGCTTCGCTGTTGTTAATACTATTAAACAATTTGTTAGTTAATTTGTAATCAATAAAATAAATTGACTATGAAGTTGTTCATCATTAACTGCAAGATGAGAAATTTTTTCCACGGCGTATTGTCACTGTCGACATCCATCATGGCACATGTTGCTGCTCTAAATATTCCTCTTGTTATGATTGTTGCAGCGATAAATCATGAAGACAAAATATTTCGATGCCACTTTCTGTAGGGAAGAATTGAAAATAAACTAATATTTCTTATCTGAGCATATAATGAGCGGATAGTAGTTCTCTGCAGACAGTTTATTGTTGCAATTCATCTCTACTCGTTCGTTGGTTTGTTAGTAAGTAATCTCATTTTATTAAAATTTATATATAACTGGAAAGCAATTTTTATAGTTATGAAATTAACACAAAATAACATAAAATTTAAAATGCATGTGTATGTGTATGCTGGCCAAGTCAAATTTAGGAAACTTGATGTAAACTAATTAACAAATGATATCTAATTTGAAGCGAGATAATCATCAGAAGCTAGATTTGTTTAAAATATATTTTGTAGTGGCAAATTGTAATGTTTCTAAAAAAAGTGCAGGTTTAATAATAATAATAATAATACGGCAGTTTATAAAACGCCAGTTGCACGATTGCTTCAAAGGTTTGAAGTTAGGGTTGCCTGCTTGTAGATATTGGCTTAATATAACCATTCGAAAGTGTAGATTCATGTTAATATTACAAATTTTGAAGCAACCATTTTATGTGGTGTTTCATTAGCCCTAAGTAAAAATCAGTTTCAAAATAGTTTTTAAATAGCTACAACTAAAATGTAGAAACAGTTTCGAACAACTTCGTTTCAAGGGAACTTTGCACAAGAAGATAATTACATGTCTTCTTCTTAATTACATTATTAATATTAATAGTTGTAGCGTCGTCTAAAAATATCATTCATCATAAACATTTTTCAAAAGCTTTTAGCATAAACCTTCAGAAACATTCTTACAAAAGGAACGCTGATAAAAAAAACTTCAAAGCAAATATGAAAGAATCATTAAACACGTTCATAAAAGCGCCAAGTGCTGTACACAACACACCGTTGACGTGAGCATTTGACAACGCTACATGATAAAAACACTTTAAATTGCCTGAAACCGACCGATAAAATTGATTCACTCTTTTGGATATACGCTTTTGTATAATAATTTCTGCTGGTTCAGGTTTTTTGTAGCATTTTTTTTAATTTAGTGACAGCATTTGTTGGATAACCCTTCGTAGTTTCTATTTAAGAGTACAAAGGATGCTATAAAAATAGTTTGTGAGCGCACACTAAAATATACTTTAAAAAAAGGGAACAACAAATCGAAAGTAAAATGTAAATAGTTCTGTAAATAAACAGTACGTAAATACCGCTTCATAGCTTCATAATAAATATTCAAAACAAGCTCATATACCCACCAAAGCAAACACAAACATACGGACACGAACAAACAAACAAACAGACATATACAAACCCAAACATGCAAATATAAACTTAGAAATACTTCCTCGTACACTTGGAGAAGCCTGAGGCGCCGGTACTAACGTCTCGTTAGTGTGGCGAGATAATGCTTGCCGTGCTAACAAGTATGTTTGTGTATGTGGCAGAAATCTTCTACTTAAAGATATTTTGTGTGTGAAGAAAAGTGTTTGTACTCTCTAGTCCAGTGTTTTTGTAGTGAAAGAGCTCGTACTTACATATAAACACGTGTGTGTGAGTGATTGTACTTTCAAGAAGGTTTGTGAAGGGGAGTGTGATGGAGCTTACAGTTATGTTGTTATATGCGAGAAAGTGCCTGTACTTACAAGTTTATTCATGTGCGAAAGTTTAGCTTGTACTTACAGAGGTGTTTGTTTACGTGAAAAATGTGCTTGTACATAAAATATGACACCTTTACCTGATGCATGGTTATAATGTAATGTCACAAATCATTAAGAAGTTTAAGTAGGAGTATCAATATAATATTCATGGTGTCATCGTGCCAACAAACCGCAGTTCACATTTTTAATCGCAACCGTAGATTTCAAAGCTGTGCGTGATTCCTGCGCCATCATCGGCATTGACGTCATCAACACTTGGGAACCAGTTTGGACGGCCTTATAAGCATCATCATCGCCGTTTTTACCATCAAATCATCTCATCACCACAAGAAATCATTTTCCGTGTTTCATTCATTCAATGTCCATCACATCTTTATTTCTTTATAACAGTAATAAATGAGTTCTGTTGATACTTTCATAAATGAATGTGAGCACACGCATAGAATAACATATTTTAATTAATCCAACCGCATTGCTTGGTTATTTATTCATCAGCGCATTAGTTTCAAATTAACGAACGCTAAATTCACCTCAACTTTCATAATTTTCAATATTTCCATATTTCTTTTTTCTGACATTTTGACCTCCGTTGGCTCTATAAATTATAAGGTACATTTAAAATAACCAAGACCATTTTATTATTTTGCGATAGATTTTGAGCTACACTGCTTTGGAATCGGTGAAGTTTTCAAAAAATTTAAATTTTTCAAGATTTTTTTTACAAAGTATCATTTGATTGAAGCCAATAATTTTTATTTGTTCAATTATAATATTGTTTTATTGGCATGCACATAAAATTTTATCAAGATATGTTGGATAGTTCAAGAGATATAGCGCAGATTGGCACAAATTTTGAAAAATAATCGCTCAAAAACTTGTCACACAAATCTTCATAATTGTAAAATAATTGAAAAATTTTTTAAACTTATTTTGTCGATGAAAAACATTGAAGTACTTACTGTTAAAATTTTTAAAATATCGGAGATGATCGAGCGTGGAGCATGGTTCAAGTTGACAAAACTGTTTGTAGTGCTGATGGCCGTTAATAAACATTGTTTTCAAAGTAACAAACAAATGGTTGTTCTATATTTTTTAAGAATTTTTAAAATTTTATTGATTGATGACTTGCAAACAAATTTATTCGTTGAAAAATTCTACACAGAATTCTTTAAATGCGCAAACATCAGCAGCGTTGTAGGGTAGCGATCGACTTAATAAACATGGAGCCACAGATTTATGCCTTATTTATTGCTACAGACTTTATCACTTTTACTATTTTTTATATAATTTCTTACAAATTTTTCTCGTTATGAAGCAGCTGGATAATATTTGTGTTGTTATTTTTAATTAAGTTAACAACAACAACAACAACAGCAGCAGCAGCGGTAACAACAATAACAATAACGATAATAACAACAACAACATCATCAACAATGACAATGTCAACAACGGTAACAACAACATCCTCATCATCAACAACAACAACATCATCAACCACATCAACAACAAGAGAGATGTGTAGAAAATGTACAATGAGAAACGACTGATGATGATAATAATTAATGAAGTGATGAATAACTTGGGAGTGTTTGTTCATTCGCGCGTTATTGTCGAACGAAGGAGTGAGTTTTCAATAGCAGATGAATGAATGAATAATTTTTGTGTGTGTTTATTCAACGATTACGCAGTAAATTGAAATGATGAGTGAACATTTATATGAGTGAACGAATGAACGAGTGAATGGGTCAATTAAGTGGGTCAGTGATTGAAGAAATGACAGAACCTATAAAAATAAATAAATGAGTGTAAAATGAATGAAGCAATGAGTGATTGAATGAAAAAAGAATTATAAAATATAAAATTGAGATGAGTTTGAGGATTAATTCAAAAAGGAGCAAACAAATTTTAGTATAAATAATAGATTTAATTGACAACTTAATGATTAGATTAATAATTTTAAATGAAGAGCTGGCATGAGATGGATGGATGAGTGGATGATAGTTCTTTTCAGTGGAACGTACATGAAGCTGCTCCAAGCTGCGAAACAAACACTAACACGAATGAAACTTATACGTAAACATGGAGTTTGCAGACACCGACGAACACGAAACTACACAAACAAACGAACAAATGCATAGGCATGGGCACTATTACAATACATGCCCAAAAGCATACACACATCTAACTTTCTTGCTTATCTAGACAGATAGATATTTTTTTAAATTGTTATATTTTTCATTGAATTATTACATCTTTGTTTGGTTTTGAAAGACCAAAAAAACAAAGACCGTAATAAAAACAAAAGCCATAACTTGTAAGTTTTTGCGCTGAAACTTTTTTAGAAAATTTTCGGCACAATATTATTTCTGATAAATGAATATGGGTTTAAACAATGATTTTACTTTACATCTAGACTGGAATTTGAAGCTGAAATTTTATAACTTTACTTGGAGGTGCAGGTTATTAGACAAAATCAAAAACATTTTTTAAAATTAAATTAAATAAGCTTAACGTGCAATATGTAGATAATTTTACAAAATTTATTTCAGAATCAGTTTATTTAATGTTTT